TGATCACCTAATTGATCTAAGTTGTACAAGCTTTATCACAAACACTTCACAAGCATAGGAGTGGAATACAAGTGCAAAGAAAAGGTTTTTGGTCTTTTAATCTCAAAATCACTCTTGGTAGCTTTTCTCTTGATTTTTGATAATTGGACAGGCTTTAAATACTTAAGGAGTTAGATTTTGCTATTTAGGATAGATCCTAGCCGTTAGAAATAACTCTGATACCATTCTAGCTTTTATTGTATGCTCTAATGTTGAATTTCAAATAAGTAGACAGAGTTCCACTAATTAGTTACGGGTAAAGCTTTAACCGATTACACCATCTCTACCTTACACTATTTGACAGCTCTGTTCACTATGTTAACCAATTAAAGGAGACTCTAACCGATTAAGAAATCTCTATTTTCCAAGTTTTTTATCCAGTAGACTTCCTTTAATTAGTTAACTATCCCCTTAACGAATTAAAGCTTCATTTCCCTCAACCTTCACCAATTAACATCAACGTTAATAAATTAGAAAATCTTGGAATTTGGATTTCCACATTTTGGCTCCCTTTAACGGTTAACCTCATTTCATATTTGGATTTTGGTGCTTTAAAGGTACTTATGTCGTTTGCTCTAACCAATTAATCCAACTCCTTAACTTATTAGAGTGCCTCTATTTTTAGCTTTCAACACCTTTTTAATCAGTTAAGCCTGGTGTAATCGATTAATACTTTTCTATTTCACTTTTACCTAGCACCTAGTTGAGCCATAACTAGTTAAGGCTCCACATTAATCAGTTAATGAGGTTCTATTTTCACTAGCCTTTTTCTTCTTCCTCAATTTGATTGATTAACCTATCTTTTAAGTGAACTTGCCTCTAATGAACAATTTTGTTAAGGGAATTAAATTTATTTTGCACACTTAAATAGTAAAGTTATACACTAATGAATAAGAAATATTTTGTTATCATAAATAACATATGGAGTCTATAATGGAGTCAACATATTCGATTCGTGAAAAATAAACTCTAACAAGGGGATCTTCTTGGTGTTTGTAGAGATGTGCTTTTTCAAGAAATGCCTAGGTAAGTAGAAATTCTATACTTCATCAAAGAGTTGGCATGGTCTTGAAAATTATCTCAAAGAAAAAATGATTACATTCACGCAATGATAAAAATATGAAAGAAAATAACTTAGAAAGAAAGGAACAATAAAATAAAATATCTAAAATCCAAAATCGAAAATCATCTTGGCTGAGCATTACTAAAACCTGATGACAGATCCTCATGCTTTCGAGGTTAAGAGAATTTTGAAAGCCCCTTCTAGAGTGTTGGAGAGGTCTAATAATAAATAAGAAAATATAATATAGTGAATGATAACTAAAGGAATAAGAATTTAAGTTTAACATTGATAATTAAGGCCAATATATGATAACAAGTGATTAATTGGTACCATTCATGGAATAAGCATCACAGGGTTGCTAATTCTTCCCCGTCCATAACCATACTCCCTAACTCAATCACAAAACATGTAAACCAAACTTTATTCTTTTTAGCGAACCTAATACAAGCTCAAAACCTCGTTAAAAAGAAATAGATTTAATTAAGTGGCCAATCACACCTAGACAAAAAAGAGTGGAGGTGACTCCATTTCACGTTGAGTAGTCAAGTTCCTACACTCACATGTTCTGACACTTTGGAAATTAAATGCTATAGAGAAAGTATTTAGGAGAAGTATCGATATATTCATTTTTGAGGCATCCAGAATTCATTTTTGTTTGAGAAGTATTGATACATGCTAGGCTACTTTTGATACCAGCTTCAAAGTGAGCTCAGTATTGAGGTTTATGAGTAGTGTACCGATACTTCAAACCTAGTAATGAAATTATTCAAATTTAGAAGGGAATTTTGATATATAATCTATTTTTAATGTCTAGTGAACTTCGTAAGGACTTGATTATATTTGAAATTTTGTTCAAGTAATGATAAATGAATTATTCATTGAATTTCAAAGTGAGTTATAAAAACTCCCCTATTTTAGCTCATTCCCTTTCCCTGTATCTACTCACAAAATCTTTGTGACTCACTTGTTAGTTTCCAAAATTTTGGTTGTAAATAAGTAGACTATGTGGCCTGCTATCCTGTGAGAAGAGCTACCATTACTATAGTTGATTTGGTAGGTCATCGATAAGGCATCTGATAAGTGTCAATCCACACCTTTAAGTCATACTTCACTAGTCAAACATTGGGTTATACTTTGTTATGGATTTGGATTATATTTGGATTCTTGCAATAAATGCTATATTATTGGTTTGCCACGAGATGGCTTTACATTGAATGTTAAATTTCTATTTGCTTTGCACTTCTGATATATGTTGATATTTTATACATAAATATAAGTATACATGCATGGTATATGATTCCATAATGGTGTGTCCCATGATGTGATTTAAGTATTTTGATTCATATGGTTTGACGCTTGCCTGGGTTATGTGGGACCTTCATATTATACTCTTGCATCGATCATGGCCCCGAGTTTGGGTCATGACACCATAATTATTAAGTGATGTCATGTTCACTTCAAGGAATGGACGAGATGCATGATTTTTCATTAATAGCTCATTATTTTGCTCAACCATAAAAGACATGAAATCCAAAACAAAATGTATTTTTAGATTACTCAATGTAATTGTATTTTCCACTTTTATAAAATATATATCATATAAAGTCAGATATCATATAAAGTCAATTTCATATGTTTAATTTAAAAATTCTTATGTAAAATCTCTGAGTATTAACGATGGAATTACATAAATTGAGTAAAATAATGGTCAGAATTCAATAAATAAATCATATAACTATCATTTATGTTTTCATGTTTAACCTAATTTAGTAAATAAAGGGACAAAATATGATAAATACTATATCATAGCAAATTCACATCAAGGTTGATTTTTAGGAAATGAAAACACCAAAGAGATATCAAGTCATTTACCTAGTTTGCTAAAACCAAATATCAAAAACCAACTATTAAAATCCTTTTGAAGCTTGAAGATGATGAAAACTAAGTAGTACCAAAACTTGAAAGATTATAAAATTGTCCTAATAACGTGTTATAAAATATAACATTGAGAGAAACTACATAGAAAGAGTAAGAAGATCTCATTTGAGTGTGTATTTACAAATGAAGTGAGGGACCTATTTATCGGTTAATAACCCCCTACCTAGATAGAATTTACGAGGTAAAGATAATACTTAAGGGATTTGACTTGGATGAATTAAATCCTAATCTAATCCAATTTAATCTACATCAATATATATATAATCATATATAAGAGTTCAAATTAGATTACACTCTTGTGTTTGGATTGTTGGGCTGTTTGGCTTATTTAGGCTACTTGGTCTGGCCTAAAACCATGGGTCGTGACATAATGGACATTCACACATATATTCATAACATTTTTTATTATTTTGATTTGGAGGAAGAATTAAAATTCAACTCTTTGAGCTAAAGATACGTGCACTTAGCATTATGTCATATACTCAATTGCTACATAAATATTCTTTTGGCAACTCTCATTAGTTACTAGGTCTAATAGATAAGACTTCATTTTACTCTATTAGTTACTAGGTCTAATAGATAAGACTTCATTTTACTCTCTGATTCAATAAAGTTTTTCTTTTCCATTTCTATACAAACATGCATATACAATGATTCGAGAAGATTCCATCATTGAAGATTTCTATTTACGTCTCAATGTAGTGTTGTTGATGGGTATAAGGCAATCATCAGATGAATGATGCAATTTTCTCTTCATCAAATAATGGATGATGAAAATCCTTTTATTAAAGCCCATGCTTGGACTCTTCCAACACTTTGGTGGAATCTAGGAATGTTTCCTCACTTGAGGAATTTCTCAAAAATCCTATCTCTATGATTTTCTCGAGAAAATCTCATCATTGGAGATTATCAATCTGTTTACAAAAATATCATGTTGAATGCAAGCAAAAACAATTGATGTCAACGAAGCAAATGAGTAATGAGAAAATATATTTTATATTGTTAGTCTTATCCTTGAGTATTATATTATCAATTATTTTGCCTTTGCTCTCTCGTTTTTATATTATTATCTTTTATTTAATTTTTATTTATTAATCTAATTTAGTTTAATTAATTTAAATTTTCTATTATATATTTTATTTTATTTATTATTATACGTTAAAATAATATTTAGTTGAAGTAATTAATTATTGAGATAAAATTTTAAGACTTTCTCAACTTTTTGGTGAGGTCCTAATTTATCACCCACCCTAGGAAAATTGCTTAGAATTGTGCCTCCACACATTCCAAACAAAATTCAATACTTTAGATTAATTTAAATTAATCATATTTAATTAATTAATTTTATGCAAAATACACTAATAAATACGCTAATAGAAACACAAAAAATAAAATAGACTCAAATTTATAAAAGAGACGCAAAACTTATTTCAAAGAACTTTGGAGTGTAACCTTTATCCAAAACTTGACCAATACTTAGAAAATGGCTAGTTAACTTTGGAATGTAATAAACATCACAAAGAACTTTACTACTTCCATCTTTTGTCTCAAGTAAGATTGTACCTTTGCCTTTAATGTCCACCTTTGTGTCATCACCAAAACTTGCAAAGCCTTTCTTTCTTGTGTCAGGCTCCATAAATTTGCTTCTATCACCTATCATATGATTGTTGGCTCCATTATCATGATACTATACACTATTCTTACACAAAGTTCCTCATTTACCACAAGAAGCAAGGATTGGTCCCTAACATATTCGCTATGAAGTGTGCTCATCACCTCTTCCTCTTCCTTAACTACAACTATGTCCATGACCACAAGCTCGACCTTGGCCTTTTCCACATCCATGATTAAGGCCTTTACTAGAAACATCTCCTGTGCTCTTCAAAGTCATTTTTTTCTAGCAAGACATGCTTTATTTGCTCTTGCTTTCCACAATTCATCTTCTCCTCATCCGCTTTTAACTACCCACCCGTTCAATTCATTAACAATCTTGGCCTTCAAGTCTTTAGACTCTTCATCATGAGGAATGTAGAGAGTCAATCATCATGAGGGGGACTTGGTTTTTGTTTAGATAATAGTTTACCTATCTTTCTCATGTGGCTTATCAAAGATATTTAACCAAGTCATAATAGATATTCAATCAAGATAAAAAAAAAAAAACCAAGTTATAAACGTGCAATGTAACAAGGCAAAAGAGAATCTAAGCCACACCATTATTAAAAGTTCGATCAAAATAAAAGTACAACAGACAAGCAAGCACAGTACGACAGACAAGCAAGCACAGTCGTATTGTGCTTCACATATTTCATATTGCAACTTGCAACAGACAAGCAAACACAGTACAAATTTCACACCAATGGGACCAAACTTCGCTACTTCTTTATTTGATTATTCTTCTCGCCAGAGATGTTTCCTACAAAGAAATTGACAAAAGTGAAGAACAAATTATGATCAATCATACGATCCGGCGCATAGAATGAAGATACCCGCACATAATTAACCATAAATCAAACAAGATCTGGGAGTTGGGGAACATACTAGAGAGAGGATGACAGAAGCCGTCAAACGCCTTTGTTTGATGCCTCCTAAGCAGAGTCAGCAACCTTAGTTTCAATGTATTGTTGGGTCCAAGCATTGAACCTTGCCAGCTGATCATTCACTTTTCTGAGTTGTTCCATTGTTGGTTTACGTTCTCCAGGACGGTCCACTTTTGCCTGCAGCTTTGCTTGCCGTTTCATAAGCGCTTTAAGCACTGCCTCTAAGTGTTTCAGCTCTTTCATCCCATTTTTCTTCGTGGCATATTACATTAAGAAAAAAGTTCAGAATAAGGAAACCAAAATCAAAGAAAAAACAAAAACACTATATGAAGATAAGTCTAAGGATTTACCTCAACCCTTCTGTCCAACAACTTGAAATGTGTCTTTTCAGAAACATTCGGTTCACTTTCCTTTCTTGGAGCCATTGATCCTCCAGCAAAAAAGAGCACAAAAAGGAAGAGAAATAAAGAGAGAAATGGGTTTTTGCTGAATAATATGAGAAAAACTAACCAGGTTCCTGTATGTAAATATCTTTTAGATCTCTCGAGCATGCGTCAAACCTTTGCCGTAGACTGTCCAAGGAGGGAGATGACAGAGCATGCGTGAGAGTGCTCACCGTCAAGACCTCTCTTTAAAAGTAGCTTCAAAAGAACCAAGGCTCTCAATCGGCGGGTAAGCGTGGCGACTCTTGTGAATTATCGCCAGATTTACCAGTTCATCGAAGAGATTTTATACGAATTCTGCTTTGATTGCGACATAAACTATAAATTATTTGTGAAGGATTTATTACAAAAAGCTTCCGAGGGTTGAAAACAAGGAGAGCTTCTGGCTATCTTTCAATGGCTGCGGTGAACAAAATTAGCCGAAGCGCAAGGCTCGCGCGATTTTCGGTGGGTTTAATTGATCGAGCCACCTGAGTCGACAGACTGGGAACTGACATGGTTGCTTCATTTGGTCCAACCAAATAGCCTCGGACAACTTTTGCAAAAGCATGACGACTGGAGAATTTTTTATTTGTCACCGGCATTTTGCTGCCGTCCCCAAATCAAGGAAATAAATGACCCCAAATCAAGGAAACAAATGAAACAAGGGGAGGTGGAATAAGAGTTTATCTGATAGACATATCTCCTTAAAAACTAATTTTATTATTTATTTATTAGATAAATAAATTATTGCATTGATTATTGATTTTATATATATTATATTTTAATGGTCATTTTATTTATTTATGACATATATGATATGATGATAAATTATTTTGTAACATTGTCAAAAACTATGCTCATAGTTGATGATTGTGAAATCCCACCTTGATGTACAATGCTAAGTTCATAAATCCTTAGGTAAGCATATTGGTTTAATGTTTTGAACATTCAAACTAAGTTTTAATCTTGGAAAAATTTATATTTTGATGCATAAGGTGTTGGTGTAAACCCTCCAAGCCAATCGATTTTGTGCTTGTAAAACATTACATTAATTAGTCATATTTCAATGTAAATACATCACGGATATTTTATATAATGTATAAGGTGTTTCTTTATCCATGAGTTTATTTATAAAGAGTTATGAGGGACTTATGTAGATAAAATCCATAGAACATAATGGTCATGCAAAGAAATTATAAGGGTTATAATTATGAGATTCTTATGCAACAAAGCATTGCTCCTAAATCAGTTGCTTACTACTTCAACCTATGAGATTCTTATGCAGCCGATCTCATAGGTAGAAGTATGTGATCTCAAATGAAATCTTAGCCACAAGCATCACTTCACGGCATACACATAATCGCTCCCTTAAAGAAGGCTTTCATCTATCACTTGTGTGGATCACCGTTAAAGGCTAGACACATGGATAGGTTTAGTTTTCAACAACTACGCTTTGGTGTGCAATCAAGAAAAAGGATCATGAGTTGTGATTTATTGAAATCACTACTAAAGGTATGATTTTGATCATTTAGTTGTATGTATGAATGTTAATTCGATCAAATGCCAAAATAACTGATCCTATGGAGGTTTCTATTTTTTATGTTTATTTTTGCTATGCTATTGAATTTTAATTGTTAATTTTTGAATTTCGTTCTTTTCTTTGAGCATGGCCGAAATCTAGCATTAGGGTGATTTGGAAAGCATGTTGTTAAAAAGAGTCCAAGTGGATAAGTTTCTAATGCTTATTTTTGCTTACTAGAGCTTATCTATTTGTAGATATTCTTTATCTATCGATAGACCAAAAAATTTTTTAAAGAGGATTGAAGAACAATTATTGATACAAGTTCACCATCTATCAATATCCATCCAATCTATAGATAGGTAGCAACCTGAGAGCTTTTTAAAAAGACCTTGAAGTCCATCTATCAGTAGATGACCCCAATCTATCCATAGATGATGTCGTTTTTAGAAAAATAAAAAGGGTAAAAACATATTTTCATCCCCTAGCCTATAAATATGTCACATTTTATGAGGTTTTGTGACCCTCAACCCTTTTTGCAAGTTATTTTATAAACACTAACCCCTCTTTAACCCATTTTCTACCCAAATCACTATTTGTTATTATTTTAAGTTTGGTTTTGAGTTTTATGAGCAAATGGATAGTTTTCAACTTTAAAATCTCTAAATCTTAATTTTCCAAAATTGAAAATATTGTTTTTATGCCCAAATTTTTCAATTTGTTGGTAAACTTCAAGGTTGTGTGATTCTTTTTACCATCAAAACTCGCCTAAGGTAAGGATGAAGGGTTTATGGGGTCCTAAACATTTATTATACTAAGTAGTAGTGGATTTAATCTAGAAAATTAGTTTTAGACTAATTTAACTAGTTTCAAAAATGCTTAAAATGAGTATTACAAAATTTTAAGTTTAGATACTGATTTTGATGATTGTTGACTATTACAAATGATTGAAAACTTCGAGGAGTTCATAAGAAAAAGAGTTGTGATTAGAGCTAGAGATTTAGCTTCCAATTAGGTGAGTGGATACACCTTTTCATGTATTTTAGATACATAAAGTGAGCATATTTTGATTGATTATTTACCATTGCATGTTTAAAATGAATTTGGTAAAATCTTGATTTTGAATACCTATTCAAATGTTTTAAAAAAAGTTTTCAATCTATTATGTAAGTAAATATATTATTATGTAGTAGTTTTGAACAAAAAGGGATAAGCGTTTTCAAATGATTTCTCTTCAATGTATCCTTCCATAATATGGTATAGTTGAAATGACTTTTAAACATCAAATGATTTGTATGGAGAAATGATATCCCTTGATTGATATTGATAAGGAAATATTGATGATGATAGCCCATATGCAGATTGGCTTTGTTGATTGTGCATGTCATTGCCCATTGATTTATGAATACTTGTGATTGTGTAGGGTTAATTCAATACAACTAATGTGTGAATGTTATATTTGAAATATTGAATGGTTGTACTATTATATGGATAATGTGTAAAGATGGTGGTGTATATAGGTAAAGCCGAATTGCCTAGAGCTCATCATGCATGATAAGAGGATGGTAAACAAGGTGGAGTCGAAAGGCCCTAGCCCAACATATCAATGTTGGGGATGGTATACAGGGTGATGCAGAAAAGTCCCAGTCCATTGAGGTATAGTGGTTGATATGGTATATGGGTTGGACATGAGAGACCCTGGACCATGGTATTGATGTTCTTGTGAGAACAACTATATTGGTGATGGGAAATTCCACCTAATTGTGAGATAATGCATTGTGTATTCACTATCTACATATGATGTTGTGTTGAAATGAACCCCATTTTTGAAATAATTGTCTATATATGGGATTGAAACTATGGTATCCACCTTTGCGAGGGAATTAATATCTGGTAATGAATAGCATTCTTGATTTTGTGCATATGATTTTATACGTGTTAAATCTATTATTTCATAATCAAGTTTACGAAATGTGACATTTGATATGAAGAAATGTTGTGAGATTTGAAACTATCTCGTGTTCAAGGTTCAAAGGAAAAATTTATGATTAGGCAAAGTTGCATGCTTATTACAAATTGTTGATTTGTGCTAAAAACTATTCCCTCTGGCTTGTCCCGTTTCTCGTATTCACTCACAGAGTCCTTGTGACTCACCCATCATTTCTCCCCCCACCCCTTTTTTTTTTACAAATCAATAGCTAACTTGGCCTAGCGACTTGTGAAATAGTAGCTTAGTTTATTCATGGTAGAAGTGGTAAAGCCTTCCTTCTAGCCTTCTAGCATCGTTACACTTCGCAATGTGTCAAGTTAAATCTTTGAACTATTATGTTGATAGCGAATTAGTTGTGTAAATAAATATTGATTTATTCATTCCTGTTTATGTTTCAGATATTATGTTGAGCCCACGATATGGGTGCATATGAATGGTAAGACTATGGTGGATGAACCATAGCAACATAGGCATGAGATGCATACAAGACCACAATTGTTATGACACTATGAATATTTATACGAAATGTGATAAAAATCACACTTTACGTTGAGAAGTTCCGTACTGCAGTGACCTTAATGAATTGTATGCATATTCTTAATTATAAATGGAAATGTATGTGAATGTGATGGATGGCTAGCCCATACATTATTGGTTTAGGCTTGCTTGTGCCTAGTGGGCTATACTTACATAAGTTCATGTGTGGATCACGATCCTTCCAGAAAATGGGATGTGACAGTGAACTATTAAGTGGGGAAGTCACTATAGTTTTTCAATTCCTTGTTTGCCAAAATTGTTATAGGTTAAATGTGACAAACTATTCAAAGCCTACACTTATTATGCCTTTGCCAAAAAGGATAAAATGTTTTAACCTTAACATTGGAGTAGTTGCCTTAAAGCAAACAAGTGGGTGTAGTTTATGAGATACATAAATCAAACAAGATCTAATTAAAGTGCATAATGTAAGTTTGTCACTCAATAATTAAAAGGAGTTCGATTTCAATTTATTAACTTTCCTCACACTTGAAAGGTTCATATAATTTATTTAATACCTATAATACTTTGATTTTACTAATAGGTGATGCTAAATTTAAAGGCTATACCTTGATACATTGGGTTATCTACGTGCTAAATAAATTATATTGGAAGCTTAATAAAAGATTCACCATTCTCTATTAAGAAACATATTCATATAATTATTGAACTCTAGAAATCCAACCAGTATGCTTTTTGAAAGGTGTTTTAGAATTATATTATTTATACTAATATTATATATTACTGTTCGAAGAAAAATAATCTTCAAAGTCCAACAAGAATGAAAATCATGAATTGGTATTACATGGGATTGATGTGACAGTGGAAATTATGTATCTATAAAGCCCATGAGAAATATCGTATGATAAAAGGACTAAATAGTAAAGATTGTAATGAAAAGGACCTCGTTGATAATTTTCTTTACAGAGGTCAATTATAATGTGTTGATGGACATGATTGCAACTAATGGGTAAATAAGAATGATAATATTAGATTACATGAAATTCGAAGTAAAAAGTGAGTCATGATATGACATGGACTTGGGCCCATAACTATAGAGAGAGATCCCTAAGGATCCCATGCATATTCTTCTTTTGGGTTTTATATATAAGTCTTGCTAGATAATACTTAGGTCAAATCAATCCAAGTCCTTTGGTATATCTATAAAAGTAAGAGTTGCTACTTAGTTCACCATCAGAATTCATTTGCAATAGCATTTGGAAAACAAAGAACCCTAGAAAAAGAAGAAGAGCGAATCCTTTTAGAGGTGAGACACTTGAATCGCTTTTCAGTTACCTGAGTCTTGATCTAAAATTTATTATCTTCGGAGTTGAGGTACTTGAACTGCCTTTAAGGTTCACATATCTTGATCTATAATTTTCTTGTGGTAGATCCTTGGCTTTTATATTAGTTGACAATTGTTGTTACTACATCAAAAATAAAAATTCTGGTTTATTAAAATGTTAGCTCAAAAGATATAACTTCAAAAGGTAGGTGAATTGAAGGTTTTCAAAAACCCTTGGAAACTTAAAGAGTAAAGTATTTTTGAATCAAGTAAGAATAAAAAGTTTCTTTAAAAACAT